AAAACGAACGCTTAACGTGACATAAGGGGGAAGGTGGGGTGGGGGCCAGCGTGCGTGCCGGCCTGCTGGCCAGACGTACAGGAACGGAACATCACTCGCCACTCTGGCCCTCGCCTCGCCCGCGCGGCCCGGTGCGGATACGTTACTCGCGCCACCCCGCCTGCCTGCCTTTGATGTTCACGGTCAATTACTCCCCGTTGAAAAGACGATCCCTTCCCGATCGGCTTGAGCTTTTGCTCTAAAGTTCTCCCCTCACCCGCCCCCCTCCCTTGCCGACTGCAAAGTCCACCGGCCTTAACGGCCGCCTCGGGCCTAGCTGCGTTTACCCAGCGGCTGTATGCCTTGCCCCGCCCGCTCTTCACCCCGTCGGGTCGGAGGGTTGGGGACAAGCCCAGCAGGCCGCGAGGAAACGACGAGGCGCGATCGCTCAATAGTTACTCCACTACCCGGAACAGCAAGTGCCATTTTTCCAGAGCAGTCGCAGTTCGTGGTGCGCGAGGGTCCGGCCTAGCGCCTAGCCTCGTAACAGCAACAATCACCCCCCCCCCCTCCTCGGCCCTGAGCGAGGCACGCAGTGGCACGTCCCGGAGCTGCTTGTCGGGCCGGCATTGGTATGGAAGCCACCACACACCCCGTCCCAGGCTCTGCTGCGCCGTCCCCAGATCAGCATGTTTTGCTACTCTGGGTCCGGCCGGCCCGGCACAGCCTGCTTGTGACATGGCCGGCCGTTGACGGCCTCTGGCGTCCCTTCAAGCCGGGGACGGTCGTGCTGGTGGCCGGGCGCGCGGCGTGTGATCGAGACCCACGCCGAACCACCTGCCCCAAGCCGCCAGGCTAAACACCCGCGGAATGGCAGGGCAATACGAGTCGCTTCAGCCCAACGGCACCTCGTCCCGGCGGCCGGAGCACGGTGGGCACCGCGGGCACGGCGTGGCATTCCTCCCCCCCTCCCCCCACGTTTCTCTCCTCCGCCTCTTTCCACGGGGGGCTTCTAATTGGAGTTCTCGCGCGCCCAGCCTGCCGAGCTACCAGCCAGCACGAAGGGCGGCTGCCTGCCGGGCGCGGGGGTGGAGGGGCGGAGTAGTGCGGGGCGCGAGGGGCGCGCGGGGCGCGGGGAGCAATTCCACCTGCCACGCCCGCGCCAAACCGCCACGCCCCGCCACACCCCGATAGTGCACGGTGCAGCGGGGCGTCGCCCGGCGCGGCGTGGCGTCCACCACTGGAATGAACGCAGAGCCACGCCCGCCAACACCACGCCACGCCCTGGCCCCGCCCCGCTTGCCGCGCCACCGCGAGGACCGAGCAATTGTTGTCGCGGAGAACCCGACGGAGTGAGATAGAAACTGGGGAGAGTGGAAAGGAGGCGAGGGGGGAGACGAGTGCAGACAGACGTACTGTGTAGCTTTGCCAAAAAAGCTAGTCTCGGCTCTGGGCGGGCGACTGGCAGAAAGGCGGGTTGATAAGGGGGAAAGGCGGGGAGCGGGGCTGTGTACACACAAAGAAGGTAGAGTGCGGACAGGGAGCGGAGACATCGGTTGGAAAGAGGGCAGCATTATACTAGGAAAAAGAAGGTAAAGCAATGTTTGT